GAAACAGAACAATAACACTCGCTTATGAACAGTGTTGGGTAAGTTACTTTAAAATAGTAACTTAGTTACATTACTAGTTACTTCTCTCAAAAGTAACTCAGTTACTTCAAGTTACTCGTTACTTTCAAAGTAACTAGTTACTAGGGAAAGTAACTTTGGTTTTACTCAGAATTCTCTTGTTAATGTGTTGCTTCCATAACTTTGCCAGTCTTCTAGCTTGCTTACTTGCCACAAGTGCACTGTGCCACCTACCAATAGAAAGGAAAAGATAATGTGCATATTTCCACGAGAGAAATCCCACGCCTGGACCGTCATTGACTGCTGCCATGATTCTAGCCTACGTCACAGCGTCATGTGCGCCTTTTACATCCAACACAAAAACTGCAGTCGTGGTGCTTTCGATTGTACTCAGAACTCGGAAATTCTGCCTTCTGAATAGGAAGATGTAGGCAACACCAGACTGCAGATGAGCTGCATACAGGGCTGGACTGGGACAGAAAATTGGCCCGGGCATTTTGACTAGAGACCGGCCCACCATTATAGGAAAAATCATAAAGCCTTTGAATGAAAACAAACGCTGTTGTGACAGTGATGTTCACTGTTTTGATGGTATATATGCATCAATCTATCAATCGTTTGTTGTAAGATTCAGATAATTATTTTTTAAAAGCTAGACATTTTAAATGAGAATAAGAAAGAAAAGTATTTCTTTGTGCCCCCCTTCCCTGTTAATGCCCTACATGCCCCCCTGGCAACACTTTGCTAGATCCGCCCTGCACAGTTACCAGCTGTCAGCTACCTAAAAAAGGATCCTGGTGTTATTTGTCTCTCAGAAACAGTTCATAACTTCCCTTCAACTCATTCATGTCACCTAAAAGGTAAACCTGTTTCTCCATCACCTGTTCAGCTCTGATGATTCAGTAAGGACATCTCCTGGTTTCATCTTCATGTTTCCCTCTCACCAGATAACCAAACCATATCATGACCAGCAGCTTTTCAGCTGTGGCTCCAGCAAACATCAGCTGATACTAGAAATTAATATTAAATAAATTCTAACAACAGCTGATCAAGCTTAAACGTGCTGCTGTTGTTTAGCGCGACATCCGCTGGTTTCCTCTTTCGGCGCAAAGTGAGCGATAAACAAACAAGAGAGCCGATCAGCTGATCATTGATCAGTTTCATGATTGAAGTAGAAACGGGAGAGGGAGGGGGGAGAATGAGAGAAGAAGAGGCAGCTGTGCAGCTAAGACACAGAATAACTCCAGCTTTGTGCCTTTTTCATTGTAGCTGAATTACGGGACAAACTGTTCCTTTTCACCTCAATAAGAAACGCGTAATATTTTCTCTGAATACCAGACGGGACGGTTGGCAACTCTAATAACTTATGAACAAAATAAAGTTCAACATCATTAACTTCATAGCACCACCCAGCTGTATAGAAACTCCGTCATGCTAGCTAGCACGCAGTACGGAAAAAGTCAGAATAACGAAAATAAACTCCACCTAAACTTGGTTCATATCTGACCCAGAGAGACTGCAGGTCATAACTTCTTACCTGAAGTTCAGTTCACACTTGGACCGGCGGCCGCCTCGGGTCTCTTTTCCTTCTGCGTCCCTTTCCTTCATCCACCTGCTGGCCTCCACCACTTGCTAATGTTACTGAATCTGTGGAAGCTCCGCGATAGCCACCACACGAAGTAACGAGTAACGACCCTATCTAAATCCCAGTAACGAGTAACGCGTTCCTGATTTTGGCATAATAACTAGTTACCGTGCTCGTTACCACAATAATAACGTAGTTACTGTAACGCGTTACTTAATAACGCGTTAGTCCCAACACTGCTTATGAATGACTTTTAGTGCAACTGATAAACAAGCGAGTGTCTGCATTCTTTAAGCTTTGATCCTTTTCACAGTAGTGCTACTGATATAGCACTGAAGATTTAGAGTTGAACGTGTTGCTAATATTTACAGTATTTGGTCTGAATTAAAGCAGTTAAAGCAGTGGTCTAGCCACCAGACACACTAAGACTGAGCCATGCTGTTTGTGTGGTGACGATGTAAAAAAAGAACATAAGTTTTAATGTCTGAGAAACATTGTGATACGGAGCTCTTATAACGCACCCTTTGTGTGGTTTGTTGAGTCATAAAAAACACAGAGCTGTATGTCACAGCCACGTCGCATTTAGCAGTGAAACTCTGAGAAAGAAAGAAGAGCCAGATATGAAACAGATCAAAACAGACTTTAAACCTTTTTTTATCCAATTACAAGCACGTGTAGTAAAATAAATTACTTGCGTGTAACATTATGTTTGTGAATGTTTATGGCTGTCACTTCTGAACTTTTCTTACATACACTGTTCACTGTATCTTAGTCCTTCTGATAACTGATATCAATATAATATTTTAAAGAGGAACTTTTTTTAACAGTGTGCACTAGACCAAATGTGGCAATTTACTAAGGTTGAGACACTTCACATGAATAGTTCCCTTTCAAGGGGAATATGTGGACGAAGAAGTTAGAGTATGAGATAAGATGTTTTCTCCTTAAAGTTTATTAGCATTTTAAGACTTCCTATCACATTCAAATATTAAATATACATAAATGTGATGGAAGATATGTATTTTAAAAAATGGAATATGAAATGTGTTTTACCCAATACAGCTATTAGATGTGTTTTCTTTGTATATCCTTTTTCAAGGGGCAACATCTGTGAATATTTATCAGTCCTATGATCTATAATAATTATTGGACAAAATCTCCAAACAGAACATACAAGTTATTAGTTATTATTAACGTTATTAGTAAGTACACTGAACAAAAATATAAACGCAACACTTTTGTTTTTGCTCCCATTCCCCATGGGATGGACGTAGAGACCTAAAATTCATTCCAGATACACAATATAACCATCCCTCCCAAACAGTGGTCACAAATCAGTCCAAATGTGTGGTAGTGGGCACATCTGCTATATTGAGATAATCCATCCCACCTCACAGGTGTGCCACATCAGGATGCTGATCTGACATCATGAGTAGTGCACAGGTGTACCTCAGACTGCCCACAACAAAAGGCCACCCTGGAATGTGCAGTTTTGTCTCACAGCAAAATGCCACAGATGCCACAAGCAATGAGGGAGCGTGCAATTGGCATGCTGACAGCAGGAATGTCAACCAGATCTGTCGCCCGTGCATTGAATGTTCATTTCTCAACCATAAGCCGTCTCCACAGGCGTTTCAGAGAATATGGCAGCACATCCAACCGGCCTCACAACCGCAGACCTCGTGTAACCACACCAGCCCAGGACCTCCACATCCAGCAGGTTCACCTCCAAGATCGTCTGAGACCAGCCACCCAGACAGCTGCTGGAACAATTGGTTTGCACAACCAAACAATTTCTGCACAAACTGTCAGAAACCGTCTCAGGGACGCTCAACTGCATGCCCGTCGTCCTCATCGGGGTCTTGACCTGACTCCAGCTCGTCGCCGTAACAGACTTGTGTGGGCAAATGCTCACATTCGATGGCGTCTGGCACGTTGGAGAGGTGTGCGCTTCACGGATGAATCATGGTTCACATTGTTCAGGGCAGATGGCAGCTGAGAATGTCCCAGTTCTTGCATGGCCAGCATACTCACCGGACATGTCACCCATTGAGCATGTTCGGGATGTGCTTGACCGGCGTATACGACAGCGTGTACCAGTTCCCACGTAATATTAACCACAGCTCTTTATTGCAGCAGGATTGGATATAGTCCTTTCCTCTATGTTTGTCACATTTATGTTTCACTTCTGCATCTGCTGCTGTAAATGGGATTCTCCTCACTCTGTAAGTGTTCATGTTTTGTAACTAGGGAACCAAATTTGTTTTCTATGTGTAACAGACGTATACACTTCCCCGTGAGCCTGTGTCCAAAAGAGAAACCGTAATGCAACAGATATCCATTATTAAGGAAGTTATTTACATGATATGATTACCATTTATTCATGTGCTGCAGCTGTATTGCACTACTGCATCTACAAAGAGTACTTGGCTTTTCTTACCAGATTATTCTTGTTCTTAAATAATGAAAAATTAATTAGAAAAAAATGAATTCATAATGAATTAGCATCACATACCAGTGCCGTCCCTGATGATTCTCTTTTGGTCCATTCTGAAAGAGAAACAAGAACTTACTCTCAAAGCGCGACTGCAGTGTCGTCAACATTTAACGTTAAATTATGTAAGAAGAACGAACTGGTTTCATCAACGGTGAGCGCAAACTTACTGGATCTTTTGAGCAAAAACCAAATGACCAAGCTCACAGTTACAAAGAAGATCAACAAAGTCAAAGAGATGATGAGAACTGTTAGGGAACCACTGTGGAATAAAAACAAACAATTATCATTTCCATAGGTCAAAGTTTTCACATAATGGCAATAAATACATAGCGTGTAACCACAGTTGTATAGCTAGTGCATGTCAGTGCAGTCCTTTTGACCTTAGTTGCTCATCCTGATCTTTAGTACTTGTTTTATCTGGGAAAGACAATGAATCAATAAACAAAAAAAACGGGAAAATCAAGGAAGAAAGAACGAAGCCAACAACAAAAAAAAAACTGAATAATATTTTCTAATATCACATCAAAGCATTGCTAATCATGATGCATGTGGAATATTCATACAAACATATTTCAGGTTCAGAGTTGTTGTACTTACTGGGTGTGAAAGCTTCATTCACAGTTAAATGCACTGGCACCTGGAGGTCTCCTTTATAACATAAGTACCATCCGCTGCTCTTTGTGGTCACTCGACTCATGGTGACAGTGAAAACATTGTGGGCACTTTCATTAATGCTCACTCTTGTTCCATCTATTGATCCAGTTGGCTGTGTTACACACTCGCTGCCCAACTTGCACCACTTTATTTTCCCAGTTTGTGTACTGTAAAACTTGATGGTGATGTTTCCTCCATCAAAACCCGTAATATCCTGATGATCCACATAGAAACTGGGTGGACCTTGATGGAGAACAAGTAGTAAGTTGTTACTAGTCTTCTACTTTACATTCATAGCTTCTTAAGCATTTTTTAAAAACATGTTTATCATGACTGACATAATGATTCTAATATTACAACCAAGTCTTTCCTAATATTTTGGCTTATTTGAAATGTACTTGAATGTACTTATGGATTCTTACCCCTGGTGACAGACAGATGAAAATAGACTCTCACATCTTTCCATATCCCAGGAATCTCCACAGCACACCAGTAATGACTGTCCTGATCTGCGTTTAATTTTTTAATAGTCACAGTGAAGATTCTTTGTTTTTTGTCATCAGAGATTGAATATTTTCCTGACTGGCCTGGCTGGTTTGTTTTTACTGCATATGTGCATTCTCGATAATAGTATCCTTTACACAGATATTTGAGATAAGTTTCGTACTGGGAGTCATAAAGACATGGGATGGAGATAGATTCTCCAGCTTTCACTGATACTTGACTGACTGTAGTTAAGCTGTGATCTCCTGCAACAAGAACAAATAAAGTACTTTAATGATTATATTTACTTAAACTGGTGATCTTTAATTAAAATATTATTCCTTCATGTGATTTCTCTATTATACATCTACTAACATTTGAACATTGGCAAGTATGAAAGTGCCAATAAAAAAACTATTCATTCATTTTATCATTTGCTGTTGAAACACGAGGTAATTAAATTATTTCTATGACTGACCTTTAAGTACAATGAAGAGGAGAAACATGATGAGATGAGCAGCCATGCCTGTGAGTGAATAGACTTAAACCACACAAACCAGTTATGTGGTTTACTGCTAGTTCCTCATGCTGTATTTATACTAGTACTAGTTGCATGATGGTGCAAGGAAGAATGACAGATATGCAGTGACATTTGAAGTATATGTGAAGGCTGACTGGCCTGATGAAAGCCAGCAGAAAGATGATTGGACTAGACCAGTGATGTCACAGCCAGCTTGATGACATGGGAAAGTGGAAATGATCTAAAGCTTAGATTAGCTGCCAGTACTTGGGAAGCACACAGATGTGTAACTGAAGATCTTCCTTAATGAACTTACACATCATCACAAAGGGGGAAGAGGCTGGTTACAGAGAGGGGCTGTGGCTGCTGACAGAGTGGTGTGCTGCCAACAATCTGCTTCTAAACACCACAAAAACCAAGGAGGTCATCTTTGACTTCTGTAAGACTGCAGAGGATTATACCCCTCTCTACATAAACGGAGACTGGGTAGAGACGATGGCCTCCTTCTGATTATGATCTCAAATGATCCGTCATAGTCGGAGAATACACGGGTGATGGCAGTGAAGATGATACAGTGTCTTTACTTCCTGCAAATCCTCAGTAAAAACAGACTGAACCAGAAGCTGCTTGTGTCCTTCTACCGTGCCACAATCGAGAGTGTCATTACTTACTGCAGAGGGTCATACACACATCACAGAAGATCATCAGATGCTCTCTGCCCTCTCTGGAGGAGATTGCCACTTCCAGATGCATCAGAAGAGCCAAGAGAGCCCTTGAACAGTTTTGACCTTGTAGTGTGAACTTTCTGTCATGTACAATATATATTTCATATATTGTATTTTTAATTGTTGAATTATTCAATTATTCTAAAACTATATAACATTCATGCTGGTCAAGATCTGCAGCTTCAGCAGTGATTTTCATTTCTCCGTGATTTCTCTTCATTATTATGTAACTTAACAAATAATATTATTGCCTTTAGTACTGGCTTCAGAACTGCATCAGTCCCATATAGTTAAGCGTTCAAAGTCTTCTGGAAGTTGAATAATCTGGTACTCAAATAATAAAGCAATATTTACAATACTGAGTTAGCAACAGTTGGAGAAATAACATCCCTTCATATAGAGAATAAACACATTTTTCCACTTCCACAAACAACATGAAACAGATACATCAATCCACTCAGTCATAATTAGTGATTATCGTTCTTATTTCTCTTACATTAAACAGGCAATTACAGAACCCAACACAAAATGGCGCCTTAATCCATCCTTTCTCTACACACTTTATTTCAATAGTTTGATTCATATAGACTCAGAAATCTTACTGGGGATGAATGACTCACCAGAAATCAGTGCCCGTAGCTTCCCAGTGCCCCCACCAGTTTTCCCAACAGCAAACGTACCAACATTGCTGTCCATTGAGTTGTACTGTTCATGTGGTGAAAATGTGTAAAAGGAGCAACACTTCGCTGTGTAAGAAACCATGTGGAGTTCTTTAAACATAGCTTGTGTGTGTGTGTGTGTGTGTGTGTGTGTGTGTGTGTGTGTGTTTGAATTACAAAACCACAGAGCTGTATGTCACATTGTCATCACAGTTTGCAAATGACCTCTGGGAAGCAAAGAAGAAACATGAGAGAGGTGAAATGGAAATCAAAACAGAGTTTAAACTTCTTTTGTATTGAATTCTAAGCATATGTAGTAAGATAAATCATCTAAATCACAGACGTTATATTTTATGAAAGTACAAGTACAACATATTCTCTGAAATTTTTTAACTTGATTTTGCTCACCAGATGGCATTCTGGTTCCTATCAATAAATAGTAGTTCTGTCAGCATTAATCTGCAGCCACATGCACATGGTGATCCACGCTAACTCACTAATGGAGATTTGCCACATTAATGCGGTTATGGCGTTAACGTCATTATAACGAGATTAACGCTGACAGCACTAATAAATAGATAAAAATAATAAGCTTAATGCAAAATGAATTAGCATGTCATAACAGGGATGATGATAGCCTCTAGGAAAACACAGTGGAATAAAAACAATACAACAAACTAAATGAAATTCATTACAGTTTTGTTTCCTCTTTGTTTTTATTGTCCGTCTGTACATCTAATTCAGGGTCACAGGACATACATTGTTGTAAGTTTAATTTTGGAAACCAACAATTTCTTAAAATACACAACAGAGTAGACCCAGCTATTAGGGTGAACTGTAACAGGCTGGAGTTGGGACCCAAATGCACAACTCAGCAACAAGGGCTATAAAACTCAACAACAGCTTTACAACAAATAACAAAGAAAACAGATCAGGTACAAAATAATTTGAATGTATAACTCTTCTAGGGAAACACAAGGTGTTCAGAAGTTGCTAAACATCAGCACTGTGAGAAGATGCAGCAGCAGATCTCAGACAATGACTCGGCCTCTGTGTGGAAAAGTTTTAGGAATATCACCAACTACAAGCCTAAAACCTCCCACTCCACTGATGACTTGCTTTTGGCCAACACCTTCAACGACTTTTACTGCCGTGTTGATGAGCAATCAAGCAGCCTTCACACCTCCATCAGCCCCAACAATAGAGACACCGTGAACACTCATTACCCCAGTGTAAGGATAAGGAGGGGATAGGAAACAGGTGGGAACACAGCTGAGACTAATTACCAAAAACATGCAAAGCTAAACTAGATACAGAGTATAAATAGTGACACAAAATGGGAACAGAAACTCAAACTTGACACAGAGACAGAAAGCTAAGCAAAAATAGAAACAAGATTAAGCCAAACATGGAAACACAGAGATTAAAGGAATATTGTAAACCAAACTGAAACCAGGAACAAAAGACCAAATATAGACACTCTAGAATATGAAACCAAAATACAAGGACAATCAAACCAATTAAAATAGAAAAAAAGTCCCCAAAAACTCAAAACCATGACAAAGGTTTTTACATGATGCATAAAGATTCCTTATAAGCCATAAAATAAACATAGTTGTATATGTAGTACAGTCCTTCAGACCTTGGTTTTTCATCCTGATTACTGCCTTTTTTAAATTGTAGATACTACTCATAGTATATGGGAGACAGCATATTTAAAAAGGGGCAACCCAGCAACACTGTAAGTCTTTCATCTGTATAAAGAAAGAAATAATAAACAAACAGTGCGATTCAGTGACTCAAGAATGAGTGAGTTTTCTACAAAGGATTTGCAGAGAATGGCAACAATAACAAGTTCTAATTTTATAACAAAACATTAACTGTGCATGAGAAATATTCATGAACACATATTTTAAATTTACAGTTGTTCTTAATTGGTTGTAAGCGTACTATTAACAGTTAAATGCACTGGCAGCTGGAGGTCACTTTCATTAATGCTCACACTTGTTTCGTCTATTGATCCAGACAACTGTGCTACACATTTGCTGCCCGACTTGCACCACTTTATTTTTCCAGTTTGTGTACTGTAAAACTTGATGGTGATTTTTCTCCATTAAACCCCGTAATAGTCTTCTTTTTTTTTTTTTTTGTCTGTCCCGTTTAGTTCTTTTACCATCAGAATTATTGTCTAAAGGCAAAGAAAGATGCCCAACGGATTTACTTTACCAAATGGACCATCCCTGCCTTGCCGTATTGGTCTATTTGACTTACCTTTGTTTTTATTGTTTATTTTATTTTCACTTACTACACATGGGACAGACATGACTGGGGGAAAGAAAAGGGAGAAAGAAAGAGGTAGGGAAAGAAAAACAGCGGGGAAGAGGAACAGTGATAAAGGGCAAAAAACAAAAACCAACAAAACAAACAGACAAAACATACATATATCAATCACCTGGATGACCTGTTGAGAAACGAAAAGAGAAAACAAAAAAAGAGAGCAATATAATAAACAACATCATCATGATAATCTATGTGAATATAACAGTAAATACTAAATATTGAATATTATTATGCAGCCCTATAATAATAGTAATAACCCTGTAATATTCTTGTGATCCACATAGAAACTGGATGAACCTTAATGGAAAAAAGTAGAACTTTGTTGTGTTATTATTCATATATGATTCCTTTTTAACTCCCTCAACACTTGTTAAATGTTTTTACTATAACATGTATAAATGTTGTCTATGAAAGTTGATTATTTGAAATGTGAAGTCTTACCTCTGGTGACAGACAGACGAATCCTGTCTTCCATGTCTGGTGTTCATGTACCTGAAACTCCACAAAACACCAGTAATGACTGACCTCACGTGTCATGTTTTTAACTGTCACAGTGAAGTTTTTTTGGTTTTTAAATCTTCTGTCATATAACAAATCACTTTTGTGTTTGTCAGTGTAGTTGTCGTAGACCCTGACATTTGTCCTAGATATCTACATTATAAGTCTTTATTCTGGTTTATTTGTGGTGTTGTTCAACCATGATTCTTTATATTATATTTTATTCATAGTATATAAATTTTTGATTTCCTATAGGTTCGGTTGTCATTCTGGTAGTTTGTATTTTCTACTGGTTACTTTAGAGATCTTGTTGCTGTTACTGTTTATACAGTTTGTTATATGTATTGGGTTCATTGTATTTTTGTTTATTATTCTAACCTCTCTACCTCCATATCTGAATTCAGACAAAACCTCTTTTTTCTAATGTAGTCTCTTTACATTAGTAAAACATTTACGAGACACTTCATTAGAAGAACAGATCCCTGTCCACAGAGTAATGGACAGGGAACTGGAATAATGCAAAGAAATAATGCAGAAAAATACAAAAGATATCCGAGCTGGGTTGCCCCTTTTTAAATATGCTGTCTCCCATATACTATGAGTAGTATCTGCAATTTAAAAAAGGCAGTAATTAGTATAGTAATCGAATGTATTCTAATCTCTCTCTCTCTAAGAGTGGGTCCATATTACAGTATGTTCATGTGGCAAGTGAAAGGTTGCTGATTCAGTTCCATCTAAAAACACAAATCTTCATTGAGATTATGTCAGAAAAGAAATCCAACATGAATTTCTGTTAAATCAAACATGTGGTGTCAACTGCTGTGGTGACCTCTTGTGACAATAAAGTATCTTCTCTGTCTTCAGGTACTAAAATTTACTGATATTTGGAATTAATGTAGAATTTATAATCACTTGCAGTAGTTAGTGATAGGTTTAGTAACATATGTGACATTAGTTGGTAACATGTAGATATCATGTAGATATCATATTTGGGTCTCCTCTTGTGAGCAGCCATTCTTCAGCCCACCGCCCTCAGTAACTCAATCATACAGCAGATCCAATCAATCATAATTAGTAATGTCACTCAGTTCTCTGAAATTAAATGTCTAACTACATATCAAACCCACCACAAGATGGAGCCTTATTGCATCCTTCTTTCACACCAGCAGTAGGACTATAGCAGCCTATTACCAGTAACAGCCAATAGTTTCATTAAAGGGAGAGGGTGCATTCTTTCTAAAGATGGACAACTCTCTATAAATCCTACCGTTAGTCTTGCACCAAAACAGGTAAATCCATAATCATAATATAATCATAGAAAAAAACAAAAAAGAGAAAACAACAAAAACATTAATTTAAGAAAACAACTTAAAGCAAAAATAAAATAAGATCAAAAAAAAATTCTGGTTTGTGTAAATGTCTCAGCTCTACAACATTCTTACTCTGAACAAATGTAAAAAAAAAAAAAAAAGTAAAATAAAAAATCATCAACAATAATAGTCTATGTAAAATATACTGAAATATACTTATGATACACCTGGTGCCACATATAAAACAATACTTCATGTCATCTGACCTTCCATTGATCTCAACTACATACACGTAATAAATGCACTACATTTCTGATTAGACAGCAGCAAATTACCAACAATATCCATCATACA